CTCACTGCATGTAAAAATGGGAATCCTGACACCAGGAAGTCACAGCCAGCACAGAAAACATGAGTGAGAAATCACAGCTTTTTGTCATTCTTTGTTGTGGGGGACTCTTCCTGTAAGGCAGATCTGTCAAAGGCCAGTGTGTGTGTGTGTGTGTGTGTGTGTGTGTGTGTAAGGCTTGCTATGGCGCTGTTGGAGGGTGGTGAAACCTTTAATAGATAAGGCCTGCTGGGAGACCTTGGGTCCCGGCAGTGTGACTCTGAAGGGACCAATGAGTGCCCAGCCCCTGCCACTCCGCTAGTGATACTGCTGTGCTGTGCTGCCTCTTACCTGCCCAGAGGCAATAGGGCCACACAACCTCCAAAACTCTGGGCCAAAACAAACCCTTCCTCCTTACAAATCAATAATCTCAGGAGTTTCTCTCCAGTGACAGCAAGCTGACCTCTAACACCATCCTGTAAGTTGTAGCAGGTCAGCCTGCCTGCTGCGATCTCTGACCTCTGCCTACCTGTGGCAAACAGCATCCCACCCCCAGTTCTGACTTTCAAAAGTGTCTCCAGCCATTTGTCACAAGTCCTCAGAGGGTAAACTCAAGACTAATCTGGAACATAAACAAAGAGGAGCTGAAGTTGGAAAAGAAAACTTCAGGTGGGGTCACCCTCAGATCCTGTGTGCGACTACAGCCGTGTCTAGATAAGGATTTCCATCACAGCCTTCATGGGGACAAGATTAGCAATTCATGTCAGAGTGCTGCTGTGCGCCATTCAGAGTCTGCTTTGTGTAATCGTGCTGAAATTACCAGTGCATTCTCCTTCTTGAGAAGGGATTCAGCCATTCTCAAAGAATACTTTGTGTTGATTTCATTAAATTTCAGTTAAAAGATTCCCCTAGGTCTTAGCACATCTGAGATGCAAGATGGTTCTTTTGAACAAAAACAAACATAAAGTGGGCCACAAAGGAGATTGCACTAACTGAATTTATTTGTCTCTGAAGATTCTATATGGCAAGGTAGTAGGATGCCTGATATATGATAAACAATAAACATGAGATAAATGATCAGATTGTTCTCACAGGTCATAGCTCAGGTATGGAACTTGCTCTTCAGGGAAGGATTGGAAAATTGGTTCCATCTCACCTGCCGACTCAGCAGTGTGAATGGTACAGTTCTGTCTCTATTTATTTATTTATTGGTACTGGAGATCAAACTCATGACTGTGTGCTTGCAAGGCAGGCACTTGTGCCGCTGAGCTAAATCCCCAGCCCAACGGTACAATTCCAAAGCATTTTGTCCAGAAGGGTTCTGAGGTGTGTCCATGCTCCAAGATTGCCAGATGCCTGCTCTGGGTGGGGCCAAAAGGGCAGGTGGTCACCCTTTCCAGGCAGTGACCTGGTCAATCGGAGCATCAGAGAGATGGGGGCTGGATTAGAAGAGATGAGACCCAGAGTAAGAGGCAGAAACCACACGAGGTGTTTTAACAGGGGGAATTTAATACAGTGAACCTGAAGTACCTGATGGTACTGATGAAACAGGAAAGGTAAAAGGAGAAACTGAGGACATACAGAGCCCAAAACTGCAGGAAACAGCTACTTTGGGGGGCTGAGAGAGCAAATGAGAAATGCAGGAGAAAATTTGGACAAGAAGTCTGGAGTGCTCCCGAGCTGGAAGACAGAGTGGAGTCCAGGGGCAGGAGTGTGCAGAGGAGCACCGGGAAGAGCCTGGTCACCCTTGTGAGGACAATCTGCCCTGAAACCACTGTCCCTGGAAGGCTGAAACGCACTGCTGGGGATGCCGCCTAACTGCGCAGAGGAAGCAGGGGCAAGCCTCCCTGGAGGCTGCTGCAAGACTCCCTCTAGCGCCCCCTAGGAACGGAGGCTCGCATGCAGTAGAGACCCAGGGCACCGAATCCCGCTTCCAGCCTCAGCCCCAGAAGGAAAGCCTAGAAACCTGCACGATGAGGAGGGCTCCCAGAGATGTGCCACCTCACCCATGTGACAAGGGCAGAGCGGGACAAAGGCCACCCCCTCCTAACCCGAGGCCCCAGTCTCAGGGCTTCCACTCACAAGGCTTGCAAGCTGCTTTGAGAATCCGAGGATGGTTTCCACCTTACTCTTTTGCAGGACACTTTCCCTTCTCCCGATGCTTAGAGTCCCCTCTTTACTTCCCAGTGCCAGGAGTGGACCTTCAAGCAAACACTATTTCCTCCCTCTGCACTGGGTTGTTCCCACCATTCCTGGCATCGTAATGATCCTGGGTTTGCAATGATTTGCTTTGCAAGTTGCTTACGAGGTCCCCAGTGCAAGTACTTGGATGTGACCAGGGCTCAGCAGGCAAGCGAGGTAGTGCAAGAGAATCCGAGTGCTTGTGAAGGGTGGCAGGCCTGCCCACGTCTCCGGGCCCTGCATCCCAACGGCCTCCACAAGCAGCCCAGACTTCAGCTGCACAACGAGCCACGTGACTCTGCATCTGTCTCTTTATTCGGCGAGGGGTCTCTCTCCCGAGGGAGCGGTCTTTCTCTTCTGTCACTTCTGAGGCCGCGCAGAGTGAATGCACTGTCTCTCCATGGCACTGGCTAAAACTGTTCATGCACGAGCTATGTCCTGCTCTCCCACCTGAACCAGCAGTTGTGAAGAAACCTCAAATATTTTACCCAGGGAAAAAAAAGCAGAGTGATTTCTTGCAAAGTGAGTTTTGTCTCCTCTTTAGAGCTTTATTTGCACCGAACCATACAAACCCTTTTGTGAAGGCAGAGCCAGTGAAAACCCTGGGAATGAAAGTGGGGCTTGATTTTATGCTAATATATGTAAAGAACGTGATGATAGAGTCATAGGTAACACAATGAACTTAACTTTTTTCTCCTTTTTTATTGAATTATAATGACTGGTTTCCATAGCAATTATTGCATCACCTCGTACATTACCAGAAAGATCTACTGCACTATTTTCCAGTCATCCTTGTAAACATTTCTACTTTTTTACGATGTTCCAGGAGAAAACACAAGCCCTTTCGGCTTGGCAGCAATTGGGGAGCATATTTCAGGAGATTAATAAAGCCGACCGGGGTGTTTTTATTTTCTAGGTTCGGCAGTTGGTTTTCCATCTACACCCTCACCGGCTCCTTGTCAGGCAGACAAAGACGCGAGGAGGCAGGAGGCGAGGGGCAGCGCCAGGAGGGAGGCGGGACGCGGGAGGCGGGGCCTGCAGCCCGTGCTTGAGTCTCAGGCTTCTGGAATAGTTTGGAGAGCAATTCTCTTGGGGACAATGGTTTCTTTACACCAGGCTTGAGCTCAGAGGGAGAACGGGGGACTTAGAACTCTCCAAGTGTCAGGCAGGGGGACTCACAGAGCTGTGTCCTCTGTTGCCTGGACACTGTGTATTCTAGAATCCTGCTGCTCCCTGGGTCCTTGAGAATGGGTGGTGAGGTGGAAATGTGGGTGTCCTTCACCCGGAATCCCCACTTCTATCCGTGGTTTGCAGTGACAAGCATTTCCTTTTGCTTCCCACGGGCTTTAGATAGTGACAGGTATTTGCAAATCGTTTTCCAAGTAGGAGGGGAGGAGAGGGTGACAGAGCCTGGTGTGGACACCATGAGAGCCCATTATCTGGCACCAGACTCACCCCACCGCACCTTTGGGTCAGGAGGAGATGTCATTGTCATTGGCTCTGGGAGAACAGAGACCCTGAATCAGGCTGGGGGAGCTCCACGCAGGGGTTTCCGAGTTACCAGCCAGGAAGAGAAGTGGGATGCGCCTGTCCTGGGCTGGATAAGGAATTGCACTGCTCCCGTGTTGCTTTTGACCCTGAGGGACCCACAAGAGGAAGATGACCAGGCCTGGTGCAGAGGATCTGGGGTTTGGAAGCTCAGTCTCCAAAATCAGAACACTCGATCCCATTCTGTGTCTGAGGGTGAATAATTTACCCTCCTGCCTCAATTTTCCAATCTCCAAAATAAAATTCTGAACCCACTCAGAGGAGTTTATGAGGATTAGATATGATGCAGGTCAGGCTTAAGAGCTTACACCTCTATGGGGCTTTAGTGCAGACTCACTGGTCTTGCTGGGGTGACTTTGAACAAGCTGATTGATGCCCGGGAGCCCTGGCTTCCTCAGCTGTAAAGAGACAAATGTACACTGGCTGATCCAGTAGGTTCCTGCTAGCTGTGAAATTCAAGGGTTATTGGATTCTAAAGGCATAGATGGAGATGGAGGAAGAGCAGAAAGGGGAGGGGAGAGAGAAAGAGGGGGTGAGGGAGAGAGAGGGAGGGAGAGCCAGGAGAGCCAGAGCAAGAGCAAGAGCCAGAGAGAGAGAGAGAGAGAGAGAGAGAGAGAGAGAGAGAGAGAGAGAGAGAGAGACTATGTAAGAGCAAATGCCTAAAGCAGAAGGAAGAGGTCCCTAAGTGACAAGAAGCTCTGAGTTCACCAAAATGCTTAACCAAGATAAGAAGGATGTAACTGATGTTGGAAAGATTGTTATGAGATTAATAAAAGTGATTAAGGGATTAAGACTTCTCAGAAGAGATCGTGAAGGGACCACCGACGGGAAAATCCTGTCTCCCCTTCTGTACTCAGACTCCCTTCCTGATTTTTAAGTCCTTGGTCACGCAGACATTGAACAAAACAGTCTCAGCAGATGCTCAAATAGAATCCTGGCTTAAACCCATCTCTGACACGGGGGAGGGCTCTGTGCCACACACATGCTTGCACATACACACACGACCTCACTCACTGTCACACGCAGTCTCTCTCTGGGAGTGCCCAGGGGAGTTATGGTTCCCCTGAGCCTGGGTTTGGGGTGGGGTGCACTGACCAGCCCTGTGGGACGTAGGACTCCCGAATAGAGTCCACTGTGAGCCCTAAGAGAAGGGGAGTGTGGGGGAGACGGGCATGTGCTCACTGGCAAAGTCCTGGGGCAGAGCCTCGGGAGCTGAGTCTCGGGGCTTTCTCCTGTTGGGGGGACACAGATCCTCCTCATATCTCACACCAGACTCTCCCCATTGCACCCCACAGAAGAGTTGAGCTCCTTCCTGACAAGGTTGGAACACGCGGTGGAGGGCAAAGCACTTCTCAGGGAATCACCAGGGATCCCTGCAAAACGCTTTCCAGAGACCCCACTGAAGAGCTGCACCAACCTCACTTGCTGCCAGAAACCTGCCTGGGGTTGGAGCACTGTGGTGACCCCGCAGGGCCGCAAACTCAGAGCCAGTTGCTCATTTCTAGGTTCAATGGTGACTTTTCTCCCTCCCGGTGGATCTGCAAGGATAAAATAAAAAATATATGAAAATAGCTTGGCGTACTGGTTAGCATATGGGAGGTGCCAAAAAAAACCCTTAAAAGCCAAAAGCAAAGAGACTCTTCCCTCTAACTCACACCTCTAACTGGTTACTTTTGATACGGTTGCCCTTTACTTTTGCCTTTTGTATTCTACGCTTGACACTCCATAAGGCACCGTGTGGCAGCCGGATGACCTGTCGGCACCCAAGGACCTCATCTCCTGGCACCACATTTTCCCAGGATGCATGGGGACTGCACCGAGTGGCCACAGAACATGGAGAACATGACAATGGGCCATTTAAGCGATTTCCATCGCCCCCTGTCTGTCTCTGTCTCTCTCTTGTCAGAACAGGTCTGGGGAGAAGCTCACATAACATAGAACTGAAGCCAACAGCTGCCCAAATGCGCTCGAGTCCCTTGACCCCAGTCAAGTCCTCAGAGGCCGCAGCTTCAGCCAGTTGCTGAATTGCAACTTCATGAGTACAGGAGCCACAGCCATCTAACATGGCCACTGCTAGAAATCTAACCCTCAGAAACTGAGATACTGCAAGGTTGCTCTTGGAGAATGCTAAACACCAGGGCTATTTGTTATGCAGCATTGGTAACAGTGCAAGGGGGAGAGCCGGTTTAAAATGAGCCTTTCTGGAGTCAAAGGTAATGGAGCTGCCATGCTGTAGATGAAGTTAGGTGGTACAACTGTGATTCCCTGGTTCATTTTACAAGGATAATTTCAACTACAGCTCCTCCTTCCACCCCAAATACCTCTGCCTTGTTTTGAGATGAACACACGTGCAGTAAGTGCTGAGCTCCATGGCACAGGTCAGGACCCTGAGGCCTCCTCAGAGTCACACACCAACCCCAGCGCATTGATAATCAGGCCCCACAACATGCATGCATGCATTCCCCACTCGCTGGGAAGTTTATACCAGACTCTGCTCTGGGGGGATCCCCACTGCCCTGGTTGAGAGAAGCAGCCTCAGGCAAACCTGGCCTCCAAGGACTCATGGGAAAAATTATTGTGCACCAGTTCTGGAACTGTTGTATCTCTAGCAAGGTTCACACACAGGAGGCTAGCCATGAAGTTTCCCACTCTGAGGGAGATGTTGAACACCCTTCTAGGGTAGACGAAACCTCTCAGGTTTTTAGGTTGTCTGCATGAGCCCAGTACTGGTGGGGTACTGAGAAGAACTAAGGAGGCCTGGAAGGGACGAAGAGACTCCCCGTGCCTGCAGGTGAGCACTCAGTTCCCCAGCCCCCAGGAGCCACAGCCAGCCCCCACCACCAGCCGGGCAGCCTTTGTTGGGGTGGAGGTGACCATCATATTGCTGGTGCTGGCAGCTGCCCACCAATTGGGTGGGACAGTTCATGCTAGTTCACCTTTCCTGACTGGTTCCCAGGAAGGACCAGAGGGGAGGCACCCTAGCCACTGCCCCAAGATAGGTGAGTGCACGCGATATGGGCCAGGGCAGAGACCTGACCCTGGCAGGGTGGGGTGAGCTGAGAAAATATGGCCAGGGACAGCAGGAAGGGACGGAGAAAGGGAAGGCAGGGAGGGAATCTCCTTAGAAATGGGGGCGCTCTGCCCTCTGCCTATACAACGAAGCCACCTGGCCTGGCCTGGAGGGTCATGGGCACCTCTACCCTTGGCAGCTCAGGCTGCTCCCTGTACTGGTGGCTGAGCTCTGGGACCCTGGCTTCCCTCTTCAGCCTAGTGAAGGTGGGGTCCCGCCCTTTGTCAGCCCCTAAATCTTCTAAGTGACCTGGGCTTTGCTGCAGTAAAATGATCCTGGGACTGGATGATTCTCTGCAGTTGAGGAGAGCTGCCCCATGCACTGGAGGAGGCTCAGCTTGGCAGTACATTGGCATTGCCCATTAGATGCCAGCAGCATATGAAAGAGGGCCGTCCAGCAGGTCTGGGTTGGCAGCAGAGCTAAAGAGTGCATAGAATGTGTCAGACTTGGCTTCTAAGCCTGAGAGAATTGCAGTGAAGCTGTGTGATGTGGGCCAGGTTACTCCACCTCTCTGAGCATGTTATGACTTTTCCATAATGAAGATTAAACAGTGGAAACAACTGACTTCCCATTTCAGTGGGGAGAACAAAGCACAATGTTATCAGCAGCTGTATAATCACAGCTTGGGGTCCTCGGTGAGTGCTCACTAATAATAATGGCAAAAACTTAAGAACCCTTTGATTCTCCTAACTTTCCGGCAAGAGGATGTTGTTGCTACTTGGAATTAAAGATAAGGAAATTGGGGACAAAGGGACTTGTCCAAGGGGGCTCAGCACTGACCTAACTCAGGACCACCCGACTGCTCCTCTGCAGGGCAATACCTAGCCCTTCCCCCCAGAGAAAGCTGGGAAGTGGGACACATTGTCCCCAGGGGCCACCCTGGAACTCTGACCTTGGCACTTCACGTCTCCCATATTCACAGCTGTGTCTGAGCAATGCAGAATCGGGCAGCAAGGAGGTCGATTGCTCCCGGACTGCAAAAACAAAGTCCTCACCAAGCACCCGGAAGTCCCTGGCACCAGCTCCTCTGGGAAGCAGCAAATGCCCTGAGACAGGGCAGCCGGGCCAGAGTCCTGCCACTTAGAGGGAGATTTAGGGGGCGACAAGTGGGGAAGCCAGACATCCTGGCTGCTGAATTTACTGAGCTTTTCATCGAGGTCGGCAGGAGGGCCTTCTGTGCAGAGTGCTGTCGGCAGCTCAGATCGCAGGGCTGGTGACAGTGTCCAGGGTCTCCCTCACGATGGTCTGGGCAGGCAGAGCTGACTGGTTCATCTGAGAGCCTGAGGTGATTCATGGTTATTACCCGGCGGGATTCCAAAGCGTGGCTGTCCGCCAGGGATCTGACTTTGAAAGTAAGCAGAGCAGGGAGTGCCTGCCCAGATGTTGGCCGAGAGCTTGCCAGGTACCAGGTACCAGGATCCCAGTGAATACTAAGCAGGTGTGACATGGGCATGCATCTGTCCCGCAGGGAGGAAGTCTCAGAGACAGGCTGAAGACAGGTTTGCATGCTTGGACAGCTAAATCCTCTCAATCTGAAGAGTCAGAGTGTCGTGCGGGGGTGCAGAAAGGCAGCCAGTTTGCATGGGCCCAAGACTCACCCAAGCGCCCAGTGTGCTCACCCACAGAATCAGTCTGTTGCTATAGGGGCTGCCAGGATTGTTGATGGCATCCACCGAGATAATGCATGCAGATCCTTAGCAATGTCCTATGCATGCAGCAGCTTTTCACTAAATGCCAGCAGTTGCTATGATCTCTGTTTTGAAGGAACTAACAAAAGGAAAACACAGGTAAGGATTTTCCCAGAATCTGACCGTTAAAATAATTCATTTATCCATTTAGGCATCAAATATCTATGAGCAATAGCTCTAAGCTAAGCTCTAGCCTGAGGGGTAAGGAGAGAAGTAAACCATGAATGTGATCGACTTCATGACATGAGGAATGAATTGCCTAAGTAGATCAGTCAACTATGATACAAAGTGCTAGAAGAGTGAAGGAGTATGTGTGTGTGCGTGTGTGCGTGTGTGTGTGTGTGTGTGTGTGTGTGTGTGTGTATCTGTCTGTCTCTCTCCCATTCAACAGGACATGCATGAGCCAAGGTCCTGAGGCAGGAAGGGATTTGGTGTACGACAATCATTCAAAGAAGGCCAGAATGACAAAGCTAAGAAATCGGCTGGCCTTTGAAAAGCAGGCAGAGGCTAAGCCCCCAGGTGGTATCTGCAACTCTGCCCCATTGCAAACCTGCTCTCCTGACACCCACAGAGTGCATCACCATTCCCCAATGCCAGTGCATCACTCACCTCTGTGATCATGGCACCCTCAGATAAGTGTCAGCTCAAATGTCAGAGTAAGACCAAAGATATTCAGAGATGGGAGTCACTTCATGTGTTAAATAGCAGTGCTGGGTCTATAACACGGCAGCTGATTAAGGCTGTGTGCTTCAGGGGAGGGGTGCAGCTCTGCGGTAGAACAAATACCTGGCATGGGGCTCTGGGTTCCATCTCCAGCACCAAAACCAAACCAAGCCTGTGTGAGCGTGGGGCTGAGTGGAGGATGAAGGATGAGGGGTTACACGGCCTCCTGCAGATGCCTGCAGTAGGCATCAGGGGTGTAGCTGCATGTTCCATCCCAACAGCAGTAACTAGGCACATGGGGATTAGAAAATAGAGATGCAATGAGGAAAATATCATGGCCCCACTTTCCAGGGATACAAATATTGTTTGCTATATATATAATTATTTTTACCAATGCGGGATGGAAACACCCACCAGGCTTTCCGTCCTGCATTTTCAGTCTCCTGTCTCCTCTCTAGGTGCCTTTATCTAACACCTAGTTCTCCTTGCCCACAAACACCCCTCCGAGTTGGTGCCGCAGCATGCCCCCAGGATGCGTCTTATTTATTCCCTGCTGCGTTGCTGGGGGACTCCTGTCCCCCTCTCCCCCGAAGGCTGGACATTGGTCCAGACGCTGGGTGGAGCCAAAGTCACCGGTGGCTGTGAAGGGTGGACTTTGCCTCTTCGCTTCTCTGTCTTGCTATATGTACTCTCAGTTTCTGCACAGCCCACCTGGCTTCTGTGCAGTGACACTGCTCAGCTCAGGGTGACATTGCTGTGACTTCAATTCTTGTCCCCATCAAGACCCATGTGAAAATTTCATTCCCAAATTTACATGCTGGTAGTGTCTGGAGGTGGGGGCTTTGGGAGGTGATTAGCGTTAGATGATGTCACAGGGAGGCCCCCTTGACGTCACGAGTGGTTTTCTAATAGGAGGAATAAGAAGCCGAGCTGCCACACCTGTCCCCTCTCCTTGTGGTGCCCTCTGCCTTGCTATCTTACAGCACAAGGCCTCTGCCAGGTCCTGGCATCATGCTCTTGGTCTTTCAGCCTCCATAAATAAACCTCTACTCATTACAAACCTTCCAGCCTCAGGTATTTTGTTACAGCAACAGAAATCAGACTAAGACAGATATCCAACACATGCTTACATGTTTCCCCTTAAGACAAC